GTAGCCACACATCCATGATCCTTCCTCCAATGTGCCCATGCTGGAGAACTCTAGGGTAGGTGGAGGTTCAAGGAGGAAGGAAAGGAACAGTGATTAGAGGAGAGAAATGAGGAAGGAAGTAGAGAGGAAGCAACGGGAAAAGGAGAAAGGCAAGGTTATAAGCAGAGATGCATGGAGACAATGACTGCCTGGAAGAGAAACAGGTTGACCCAGCCTCATTCCTGGTCACACTCACAAAAGTTGAGTGTGGCAACAGGATATCTGGGGTGGGGGGGGGGGGAATCTCTTGAGCCCCTCTGGAAAAGCCCTATTCTTTCCTCTCCCAGAGCTGTCAAGGTGCCAGGAATTGATTTGTGAGTGGTGCATCCTGACCCCAGACAAAGCGATGTCATTTTTATGTCTCTATTCTCTATGCTTTTAGTTTTTACTTTTCAGTGGGCCTGATGACCTATGTGGTCCTACTTCTGCTGACTCCAAGAATCCTGAGTCTGCCGTTTGACTTTCTCAAGACAATGACTTCCCGTCCTGGGCCCACAGCTAAGCTGCCTCCCACAATCGGTCTAATTGCTGGGTCTGTGGAGTGCTCCATCTCCTCACCAGTGGAAGGCTTCCCATGGTGGGAGTCTCCACTTCAGGGAGAGGACTTTCTCCAAGTCTGTGTCTACTTTCATCAACAGCAATCACATGTGATGCCTCTTCTCAATCTGATGACAGCAAACAATCCTAAGATGGACTGGTGTAACACTTGGTACCTTAACTATGGACATAATGTGATTTTTAACCTTGATTATACTTTGTCTTGGTTTAATGACTATTTTGCTGCACAGAAGAAGACAAATGGGTCTGTGCCTGGTGGATTTTTTTTACTGGGTGTTTATCAAATATGGGATGATGTCATATGGCTAACTCCTGAAAAGGAGTGCCCCCATATGCTGGGAACAAATAGAGCCATCCCCAGAAGTTAGCCAACAACTTAGTTATAACGACTGGAAACAATTGGGATTTTTGCCTCAAGAAGCAATGTAATCATTTCTTTGTCTTCTAATCCTAGTTCAGGTCCTCCTTTTGACTGGCGGGGCGCTGACTGGGACTGGATCCCTAAGTTACACTGGCTTGCTCCAAATGGCACCTACTTGATATGTGGCTCTTATCTATGGATGTGGCTTCCCCTGGCTGGATAGGGAGATGCACCCTAGGTCTCCCTGGTAGCGCAGTTGGTAAAGAATCTGCCTGCAGTGCAGGAGACCTGGGTTCCATCCCTGGGTCGGGAAGATCCCCTGGAGAAGGAAATGGCAAACCAATCCAGTATTCTTGCCTAGAAAATCCCATGGACAGAGGAGCCTGGCAGGCTATAGTCCATGGGGTTGCAAGAGTCAGACATGACTTAGCAACTAAAGCATCACAAGCTCCTAGGTCTAGCTTTTACTCATGGCTTCATATTTTCAGAACCTCCAGAGAAGCCTGCTAATTTGCCACATCTTAGAGCTTATTGGACAAGGTCTGTATTTCACTGGCATGATTACTTGGCTGCAGTATTTGTTCCCTCTCTGGGAACTCTAGACATTATGCTATGAGTTGATGCTCTGACTAACTCTACTCAATAGGGTTTACAAGATTCTCAAAAAGCTATTTCAGCCCTTAATGCTGAACAAATACAAATTAGAAAGGTTGTTTTACAAAACAGATTGGCCTTAGATATTCTAACCAGCTGCACAAAGAGGAACTTGTGCCATTATTCATATCCAATGTTGTACATATATACCTGATATGAGCACTAACGTTACTCACTTCACTAAACACAGAAACAAGATGATTCGGGCTATGGATACTCCTAAGGCTCAGTGGTGCCATGTTGGGAGACATTAACTAGTTTCCACGTTAACAAATGGAAAATTATCTGAATTTTAATAATTCTAATGTCCTGTTTTTACTGTTTGCTCCCTGCCTCTGTAACAGTGTAGCTGGACTTGTTTCTAGTCACATGAAGGCTTTTAAATTGCAAATGGTTGTTCAAACTCTTAGTGCCACCACTTCCTCCAACTGCTACTTGGGGCCCTTGAATCAGAGACCCTCAACATGAGGGTAAGGAGTATATGCTTCCTCAACAATTTGGGGTCTAGCTACACCATCTTATAATGATGGGCAGGATCTGGACCTCTGGAGCTTTTAATCCCTCCAGGCATGGACATAGATACAGGGACCCCCTTGCTCCATGACTCAGGTTCTCATGACTGAGTGATAGGTGCAGGTCCAGATCAGCCACACTCATCAGCCCCTAGGTTCTCGGTTTTTGTTTTACCTAGGAGGTCAAGAGCTGAGAACACAGATCCCTGCACCCTCTCAGCTGACTAAAGGGTACATGAACTGAATCTGGGCTATGTTGAACGCATAAGATGGAATGCAAAGAGTGTGCAGTGGTGATGAGGCTTTTTGTAAAAAGGAAATGGACAGGTTTATTGTCTAAGAGGAAATATCTCCTGAGAAAATATACAGACAGGCAGATTCACAATCACACTATGTGAGTTCAACACATGTCCACCTCCAAACACCCTCATTCACACAATCCCAACCATCTAAATGATGCAGTTTTTTCTGGAGACACTAGAATGTGGGGCTGTCCCTTTTTCCTGGGAAATCAATCTCTAGCTCTGTACTCCCAGCCCTCATCCCCTGTAGGGACCCAGGATCAGGGCACCTCTCCAACCAGAGCTGGCAAGAGAGCCCCACCTTCATCAATTAGATTGTCCTTCAGCAGAGGAATTATCCTTGGATATTGATGGTATTCATAGGCTGTTCCATGTGTCTGTTATTAGAGGAAGAGTGTGAGGGTGTCAGCATCTTGTACTCTTATGTACTCTATGTACTTGTGTGATTTTTGTCCTCAGAAAACTGAAACTTTTTGTCAATGGCTCCAAAGGAAAACAGAGGGGACTCCTGCTGAAAAGGGACAAACCCTCAGAGTTCATTTAAACCGGAGAGAACAACTAGTAGCAAATACCAATAGATTAATTCCCAGTTCACAATTACCTTCTTTGAGAGAGGCCCCAAATATAGAGGCAAGCTTCAAGTAATGATGTGTAAGACCCTTGTACACCAACCCTAACCTCCTTGCCACCTGGATCAACACTGGACTGATCAACACTGGACCAAGTGTGGAAACGTGAGTGGAGAGACAGAAGCTGGTGAAGCTCTTTTTTAATGGCCAAGATCATATCCTCTAGCTTCTGAGGTATCTGGGGACCACTGCCCAAGTGGATTGCTGCTGCCCACAGGTCATGGAGGTGGAGGTGGGGGAGAGGTTCGTGGCTGCTTTGAGGCCGAGGGCCCTGGAGCTCTGTGGGACGCAGTCCTCACACTGTCCTGGGCCCCCATCTCACCTGCCTGCCCTGAGGCCTGAAGTGCCTGGATGGTGCGTGGAGAAGGCCTCTGTTGACTGTTACTGTATTCTTGCCAGGACTGCTCCCAGGTTGCTCATTGGTGGCACATGACCTCTGACCCCTGGGCTAGTGAAGTGAAAGTCGTTCAGTTGTGTCTGACTCTTTGTGACTCCATGGATTATACAGTCCATGGAATTCTACAGGCCAGACTACTAAAGTTAGGAGTGGTTCCCTTCTCCAGGGGATCGTCCCAACCCAGGGGTTGAACCCAGGTCTCCCGCACCGCAGGCAGGCTCTGTACCAGCTGAGCCGCCAGGGAAGCCCTGGCTTAAGGGTCTTGCTAGAGGTCGTGCAATACTGACTGTGCGCCCGCCCCACCCCCTTACAATCTCCACCCGTTTCTACTATTCCTGAGCCACCAGACTTCCCCAGATGAAACAAAGTATAAAATTTAATCTTATAAACAAAGTTTCTCATGTCTAATATATCCACTTGTATTCTTTATTTGCTAAGTCACTTCAGTCGTGTCTGACTTTGTGCAACGCCATAGACGGCAGCCCACAAGGCTCCCCACTCCCTGGGATTCTCCAGGCAAGAACACTGGAGTGGGTTGCTGTTTCCTTCTCCAATGCTTTATTTGGAGTCCTATAAATTCTTCTCCTCACAAAATTAATGTTTTTGTCATGTGTTGTAAGTATATTTTCAATTTCTCTGTATCTTTATTTTTTTTTCTTTCATAAAGATTTTCTCCTCATCTTTAATGGGAAACAACGAAATGTCATGGAAACAGTCCAGCAGGGAAACTTTTACTATGTCTTTCTAACTCTTAAATTTTTCAAGCAAAACCTATTGATACTCTGCTTTTGCTTTCAAAATTTGGTCATCATACACATTTGACCCATCTGAAGATTCTCGAAAAGACCTTAAAGGCATCAGATGCAAATTCAGCATCGACTTCCCTTAGTTCTCTAGTTCTACTCTTGTCCAGCTCCCGTCGCATCTTGGTCAAGAAAGTCTCCACGCTGTCATTCGAACAGCATGGAATTGAGGTAGAAAACCCTATGTTTGCTCTTGAAATAAGATTTGCATTGAACCCTTAAGTAGGATCGAAATTTCCAACGGAAGAGGGCTCCAGGACTGGCCTGCTGCTAAGAGTGCTGAGTAAAGATCTGTTCTGCTGTTTCTCCACCTCAAGTTTGGTGCCGATCTCTCCCAGCCTCTCATTATCTTGCAATGACTTCCTAACTTTAAGTTCTACTAGGTAGAGATGCTTATATATTTCTAACTCTGCGTTATTAGAATCTTGCAAAGTTTTCATCTTTGGAGAGTTCAGATTCCAAGAATTAAATTCTTAGTTCCACCTGTTGAGATCCTGCCTGTCTCCCGGTCCCTCTTTTGGTTCTGGGTCTAGGATAGAGGCCGTGGTTCGGGTCTCTGCTTGTCCACCTTTGACCAAAAGACTGGGATGCAGCCAAGTGACTCCGAACGAGAGGTTGACACTCAATGGCTGTAAGATGCTCCCGCTTAAACCGTCTCACTCTCAGAGACCAGACCCGCTAAAGACCCCAGAGACTCAGCGTCCATGCCACCGGGCCGGTCGGCGACCCCACCGCGCCGGCGGCCTCACGCACTACGGCGATCCGCATCGGGGCTCCCGCCGCCGCCGCAGCCTCGGGTCCCGGGCCCCCCGGGCTCCCGGTCGCGGCTTCCCAAGGGCAGTGCGAGCCCCTGCAGGCGGTGGGCTTCCTCCACCAGCTCCGCCGCCACCGCAGTGCCTCTCTGTATCTTTAAAAAATTGTTTAAAAAATGTTAATTATTTTTGTCTGTGCTGGGTCTTCATTGCCATGCCTGGCTTCTCTTTAGTTTTGGTGAGCAGGGGCTATTCTCTTGTTGTGGAGCACGGGCTCTAGGCACAGGCTTCAGTAGTTGCAACTTACAGGCTCTAGAGCTCTGGGTCTGTAGTTGGGGTGCACAGGCTTAGATGCTCAGTGGCATGTGGGATCTTCCCAGACCAGGGATCCAACCCACGTCCCCTGCATTGACAGGCAGATTCTTAGCCACTGGGCCACAGAGGAAGTGCCTATCACTGTCTTTTTATTGCAGTTTCTTTTACTTATACCATGAAGACATTTATTTTATTTTCAAAAATGTCAGTAATTTAAATATTTTTGTTATTTTGTCAGTGAAAGGAAAAGGGGGAAGGATATTATGAGTAATATTCTTCTTAAGGGCTAAATATTCCTTTAAAATATTTTACTAAATAGGAAAATGTCTATAGGTGTTTCAAGACAAAACTTGTCTATTAAACAATTTTGAATATTTCTAAAGATATATGTCCAAATGGACTAATTAGTTTTTAAGATGATACAAATTTTCTCCCATAAATGATACAATCATAAATTAAACTGAGTATTTTGTAAAGCACAAGTGGTAATTTATGTCTCAAAAAGCTTAGAATGTTTTAGAAGTGATAATGATGGTATATCAATGAATAAGTCATTTTAACAGATTTCATTTATGATGTATCTATTCATCAGATAATGAACTTGTAGTTGTTTGCTGAGAAAAGAGGGGCATGTTCAATTAATCCTAAAGAACATTAAAAGAACTTGTGATTAAATTTGTTATGTCCTATGAATGATTTCAATGGTGGAGAATTAGCTGAATTTTAATACAGCACCAATATGCCTAGTAGATTTGTATTTCCTTACCAAGCAACATATTGGGTTTTTTTGAAAAATTTCCTAAGTTGATTCAGCAACTGTTTATAAAGTTGGCAAATATTTATAATAATTAAACAGGATAAATTATGTAAGAACAATGAAATAGGTCCAACTTAGAAATAGGTCCACATATCATCGTGGTAGAGAAGCAACTGGCACACTTTCTAAAGTAGAAGCTCAAAGAATTAGGAGATCAAGAAAAAATTTCTGGGATAAATTGGGAGACTGGGATTGACACACACCATTATATACAAAGTAGATAACTAATAAAGGTCAACTATATAACACAGGGAACTCTCCTCAGCACCTTATGTGCTGTGCTTGGTCACTCAGTTGTGTCCAACTCTTTGTGACCCCATGACTGTAATCTGCCAGGCTCCTCTCTCTATAATGCCCTATATTGGAAAAGAGTCTAAAAATGAGTGTATATATATGTACATATAACTGATTCACTTTGCCATGCAGCAGACACCAACACAATATTGTAAAGCAACTATCAGTTCAGTTGCTCAGTTGTGTCCGACTCTTTGCGACCCCATGAATCGCAACACGCCAGGCCTCCCTGTCCATCACCAACTCCCAGAGTTTACTCAAACTCATGCCCATCGAGTCGGTGATGCCATCCAGCCATCTCATCTTCTGTCGTCCCCTTCTCCTCCTGCCCCCAATCCCTCCCAGCATCAGGGTCTTTTCCAATGAGTCAGCTCTTCGCATGAGGTGGCCAAAGTATTGGAGTTTCAGCTTCAGCATCAGTCCTTCCAATGAACACCCAGGACTGCTCTTTAGTTTTAAAATTGTCTGTAGTTTAGACAAACTGTGGGGACTGTTTAGGCCCTTTCGGTAAAGTCCTAGTTCTTCCTTATTAATACCGGATTGAAAGGCAAAAATAAACAAAAGAAAATCTGTTGATCTGATAAGACATAAACTGCTGATCATTTTACACTGTGGTTTAACACAAGGAACCTCTGAATTAATGAAGTAGTAAAAATAACCCCTCAGCATTCTCCATGATACCTTCTCATTACTACGTATTTTACAATTCTACATTTTAATGAGGAACAAATACAACAATGACAACAAATCACAGCTTCTGGGTGTTTTGATCTATGATAATTAGAGTGTATATTATAATGACTATTCTTGTGATGGTAACAGTGTGAGGGTTTAGATATAACATTGAGTCATGCCAGACATCCTCTGTCAGCTTGGGATCCCACTGAGACACCCAGACCCCTGAACACATACAGATATGTGCTTACTCCTATTTGCAAGCATATTGGTCAGGGTAAAGTTGAAGAAAGCTTATTAAAATACATTTTGCTGTTGTTCAATCACTAAGTCATGTCTGACTCTTTGCGACTCCATGGACTGCAGCACTCCAGGCTTCCTAGTCCTTCACTGATTATGGTGTTAGGATCATAATTAAATCCATTAGTGAGTGCCTGGCATCACTTATTTCTCATTGAAAATGTTTCCTACATAATACAATTTGCTGGATGTGAGAGTGTAATTGAAAAAGTCTTGGTCTTACTTTTAAATCTAAAACAAACTAATTACTGTGTGACACTGTGGTTGTTGTTCAGTCACTAAGTCATGTCCAACTCTTTGTGACCTCATGGACTGCAGTGCTCTAGGCCTTTCTGTTCTTCACTATCTCCTGGAGTTTGTTCAAATTCATGTCCATTGAGTTGGTGATGCTATCTAACCACCTCATCCTTTGCTTCCCTCTTCTCCTTTTGCAGCATCTTTCCCAGCATCAGGGACTTTTCCAGTGAGTCTGATCTCCACATTAGGAGGCTAAAATATTAGAACTTCAGCTTCAGCTTCAGTCATTCCAATGAGTATTCACTGTTGCTTTTCTTTAGGACTGAACTGACTGGTTTGATCCCCTTGCAGTTCGATGGACTCTCAAGTCTTCGTCAGCATCACAATTCGAAAGCATCAATTCTTTGGTGCTCAGCCTTCTTTACCGTCCAACTCTTATACTCTTGTGACTAGTGGAAAATCCATAGCTTTGATGGTAGGGACCTTAGTCAGCAAAGTGATGTCTCTGCTTTTTGATATACTGTCTGGGTTTGTCATAGCTTTCCTTCCAAGAAGCAGGCATCTTTTAATTTATTTAAAATTTCATTAATTTTATTTTTATTTTTTTAATTTTTTTAACTGAAGGATAATTGCTTTACAGAATTTTGTGGTTTTCTGTCATACGTCAACAAGAATCAGCCATAGGTACACCCATGTCCCCTCCCTCCCGGGCCTCCCTAGCATCTCCCTCCCCATCATACCCTTCAGCCTGTTGCAGAGCCTCTGTTTGAGTTCCCTGAATCACATAGCAAATTCCCATTGGCCATCTGTTTTACACATGGTATTGTAAATTTCTATGTTACTCTGTCCATATATCTCCCCTTGTCCCTCCTCTCCTCCCACTGTGTCCATAGATCTGTCCTCTATGTCTGTTTCTCCACTGCTGCCCTGAAAATTAATTCATCAGTACCATCTTTCTAGATTCCGTATATATGCATCAGTATATGATATTTATATTTCTCTTTCTGACTGACTTCACTCTGTATAATAGGCTCTAGTTTCATCCACCTCATTAGAACAGATTCAAATGTGTTCCTTTTTATGGCTGAGTAGTATTCCATTGCATACATGTACCACATCTTCTTTATCCATTCATCTGCCGATGGACATCTAGGTTGCTTCCACATTCTAGCTATTGTAAATAGTGCTGCAGTGAACATTGGGGTACATGTGTCTTTTTCAGTTTTGATTTCCTCAGGGTGTATGCCCAGCAGTGGGATTGGTGGGTTATATGGTGTTTTTAATTTATTCCTAGCTTTTTAAGGAGTCTCCATACTGTCTTCCATGGTGGCTGTATCACTTTACACTCCCACCAGCAATGCAAGAGTCTTCCCTTTTCTCCACACCTTCTCCAGCATTTATTGTTTGTAGACTTTTTGATGATGGCCATTCTGACTGGTGTGAGGTGGTATCTTGTTGTAGTTTTGATTTGCATTTCTCTAATAACTAGTGATGTTGAACATCTTTTCACGTGCTTGTTAACCATCTGTATGTCTTCTTTGGAGAAATGTCTCTTCAGGTCCCTTTCCTACTTTTTGATTGGGTTGTTTGCTTTTCTGGTATTGAGTTGTATGAGCTGCTTGTATATTTTGGAAATTATTCTTTATGTGTTGTTTTCTTTGCTATTATTTTCTCCCATTCTGAGGGTTGTCTTTTCACCTTGTTTGTAGTTTCCTTTGCTGTGCAAAAGCTTTTAAGCTTAACTAGGTCCCACTTGTTTGTTTTTATTTTTTTCCCCATTACTCTAGGAGGTGGGTAAAATTTCATTTCTTTTAATTGTACCATCCCAGTCATTTTGGAGCCCGAGAAAATAAAATCTGCAACTGTTGCCCCTTTTCCTCAATCTATTTGCCATGAAGTGATGGGACTGGATGCCATGATCTTATTTCTTTGACTGTTGAGTTTTAAGCCAACTTTCTCACTCTTCACTTTCACCCTCATCAAGAGGCTCTTTAGCTCTTCTTCACTTTCTGCCATTAGGGTGGTATCACCTGCATATCTGAGGGTGTTGATATTTCTCCTGGCAATCTTGATTCCAGCTTGTGATTCATTCAGTCCAGCATTTCACATGATGTACTTTGCATATACATTAAATAAACAGAGTGACAATTTAGAGCCTTGATGTACTCCTTTCCCAATTTGGAACCAGTCTGTTGTTCCCTGTAAGGTTCTAATACTGTTCTAACTGTTGCTTCTTGATCTGCATACAGTTATCTCAGGAGACAGGTAAGATGGTCTGGTATTCCCATTTCTTTAGGAATTTCCCACAGTTTGTTGTGATCCACACAGTCAAAGGTTTTAGTGTAGTCAATGAAGCAGAAATATATGTTTTTCTGGAATTCCCTTGCTTTCTCTATGATCCAGGGAATTTTGACAATGTGATCTCTGGTTCCTCTGTCTTTTCTAAACCCAACTTGTACATCTGGAAGTTCTTTGCTCAAGTACTGCTGAACCCCCGTTCAAAGGGTTTTGAACAGA